GATTGTCTTTGGCTGGAGACACTGCGGGATAAGGCATCGAATCGAAGTCAATGGCGCAAATGAATTCTCTCCTGTTTGCAATCCCAAAAGTAAACAAAAACGAAAAAAAACTTAAAATGATGTGCAGTAAACAAACAAAAAACAAATTGTTACTCCTCGAAGTTGACTTTTTCATTTTCCCCACTTTGCACCTACATTTTTTCTTTCAACCATGGTTATTTTGGCGTCGCATCTGTTAAGGTTGGTATAATATATAAATATATATACGTATATATACAAAGCGTTACTACCGAATGAGCAGCTAGAGAATAGCTGTACGATTTGGAGTACGTCGGCGATCCCGCCTAACTGTTCAAATGTGCATGTGCAAACCGCACTTGACAAACTTACAATTTACGTAGCTGCTTTCACTAAGCGCTTTACACCTTCCGAGTGCCAGGTGGTACTGCAGGGCTGGATGTCGTTTCCCCGGTCTGTGATGCTTGAAGGTTAGAAATTAGTTAAAGCGGATTGTTGCTCTTAGTTGGGTAGTTGTGTGACAAATGAGGCTAGCATAGGAAAGGAAGTAATCAGCGGCATTTCCAAGGCATGAGCAATGTACGCAAGAATGAAATGCCTCTAGCGTTGATGTTATGTTTCCTTGAAACTGAAAAGTCGCTTATACAGCACCGATGTGTGCTTTACGGTTGCGAAACCCTAAATCTGCGCATGGTAGACATTCCTCGTCTATGCATAATCTACTATCGATTTTACGTAGTTCAGCGCGGGTTCCGTTGAATAGGTGGTAGTGATTCGGTGAAAAATTCCTCACCACATCAAATTCAGATCAGCGGGTTTGACGGGTAAGGATTGTTTTTGTTGTAATTTCTTATCCGGTTAGAATTTTTGAAAATGTGTGTATGCACAGTTAGACCGCTTACCCCGTGTGTTGACCAGAGGTTCATTTTCCCTGAAAACAGGGCTACTACGTGTATACGCGATCATCAGAGTCCGCTTCACCGTATTTCAAAGCACATACATACGCATATATCTGCATAGTATGCACGTGTATCATAATATCTGAAACTTGAAACAGTGACATTTCAAAAAAGCCAATTCGAAATCTCAGTTTCACCCTACTACAGAGACACTCTGCAATAAGAAAGCACACATCAATACTACAGATTATTGAGTTACTTGAAATCCGCGTTATTACCATCCAGATTTGGACTTGGGTCTTTGAGAACGACTGACTTTTAGGGTTGGGGGGACTGAGATAATTATGTAGCGAATACGACTGTACCTCACCCATTCCATAGGAACGAAAAAGAGGGCCCAGAACAGAGAAAAATGGTGTGGTTTAATCTCTGAGAATGAAGTTTGTTTTACCGCACGAACATCCGTCGGGTGAGTGATCATCTAAGTTAGCTAGAAGAAACTAAATTATCACTAAATGGGTCCTTTTATTCCAAAGTTGCTTAAACTGCACCGTACCGTAAAGTACTTTCTTTATTGTTCGATCTGTGTGCGAGATAAAAAAGATGCAAAGAAAATCAACCCACACAGCCCAGACGAGTAAACAGGTACACACTAAGTCTGATCCACTGACCTCTTGTAACCGCGCCGAATCAGCTGCCAAGCCGGGATGTTTAATCAATCTAGCGAGGAGAGTATCGCCACGACTCAGTGGTTGTGTCCACGGTTCACGGGGATATTTTTTCGGTCTTCTTTGACTTCGGACTGGGGACTCCACACCAGGATCGGGTAAAGTGGGAGCGTGGAACTGAAAGGCACAGATTATCGACTGCCAGGTCAAGCCAAAAAGCAGACACACGGTGTGGGCTTGCAATCGGGTCAGGGATTGACTCGGTCTGGATAGGGTCCCACCATAACAGACGATCTAGTAAGGGGTAGCAAATAGATAAATGAGACAAGTGAAGGATTGAAAATGGATCGAATGTAAGTCTACACCGGAAATTCGAAATTGAAGCACATTCCACGAGGCCCTAATATGAACAGAGTGGAAACAGATCTATTCGGCCTAGTCATTTTCATGAAGCACGGTGGAAAAAAACATTCAATGTATTATTACTGACCGTGAAAAGTAAACCGAAAGAACAACACAAGACTGCGTTAAATGAGGAACCGTATACTCGGATGTCTTAAACCGCATTATCGGTTGAAAACAATGATGAAACCTTTCTTCGAATATCAGGATTCAAGACAACGTAGTCGTGGCAGTATATAGCCTTCACTAACTACCATGTACCTATCTTACATTTGACTTCAGTAGTTCTAGTCCGATTCGGTGTTTAAAAAAGAGTATCATCGAGCACCGGAATTTAAAAATAAAAATCAACTTGATAAATAATCCGAGGGGTAAAAAATCCGATAAAATAGGGTGAGGAGTGATAGCACACGAAAAAGAACCGTAAAATAAATGATAAAATCGACAGCTGACCGATCGATGTCAACAAATTCCCCAAACGATAGATGGTTTAAAGAGAAGAAACATAAACGAAAACATATTCTCAAGTTAAACACTTTCAAATGAGTGCAGGATCGATACTTGTTGATCAATAATAATCGATGTACTGACGATTTCAAGAGAGTAAGCATCCTTGGAAATTCAAGAAAAAGCTAAGAAGAAGAATAAAAGGGTGGCAGTTGAATAGAATCATTGGGAAAAAATCAAAAACAGACAATGAAGAAATGACATCTCAAATGTGGTCACAATGAACGTTCGCCGAATAAAATCATGTCCATCTGCTTAGCACACCTCCGGATTTGGTACAATTAGTGACCAGATTGAATAAACGTTAAATTACCCGGTGTTCAAAATTAGATAGATTACATACCAAGTGAAAAAGAAACGCAACATGAAACTTGTATCGCTATTTACGATGGTGAATAATTGGGATGTCTAGGTCGAGGGTGAATGAGATTGACTGTGAATCAACGGGAAACTGGAATTCCATGAGCACAATTCTTCTTCATCATAAATCATGAAACGGTTTGGAGTTATGCAGATTCATAATTTCCAGTGTGCACAGACCACATTCAAAATACTCGAAATGTTCTAAGACGGACTCCGTGATTCAGGGCTATGAAATGAAATTTTTTTTTTACCTCTGATAGCTCTCCGTATCGCATGTGATTTGAACTTCAACTAGAGGTAACTAATTCAGAAAGACTGGTTGGATGATGAAGGGGTGAGTGCAAATCATTAGGCTACGTAGATTTATTTGATCCACGTGACAATGGTACAGGTCATCTCATAGATGTAAGCGATGTACCGGATGAATACGAATGTCGAGAGCGCGTTGAACTGATTCATGCACAGAGGTCACTAAATGCAGAAAACGTGTGTTGGAAATTGAAATTATGGATGTTTTAGTCCAAAAAGATCAGTCTGGGGANACATGAAGGGAGAAACCCGGGGAAATAAACCTGCGGCTCAAGCGGATGGCTTTGCCAATCAAGCTACTATTCATGTAACCAGAGTAGAACGAAAAGTAAACGAGAGCCAGCTAGTGAAATTCCGCAAGCAACTTACTTGACCCAAGAGATACACGATAACATCAACCCCACCGTGGGGTTCGAATAACTGATCAACATTGATTTTTCGCACAGAGTGAGGACTTTCGTTGCGCAAAGGAAAGTTGTTGCGGTTGGTGTCCGATTGGGTTGACGGGACCTTTTGCGCAGAAGAAACTCCACGAATGACAACCAGAGGGGACAGGGAACGCGGATCAAATAACCAACCCAGACAACTGATATAGATAAAGAGAAAAAAAGATAGAAACAATTTGGCTGAAAAACAGAGAACAATAAGTAAAACATACAATTGCAATAAAAAACGGTTGGGGGTAGGAAAAATTATATAATTCTCCAACAGCATTTTTGCCCAAATAATCAATATTTTGTTTATTCATTGTAAACCAGTACATAATTTTCCATCAGAGACAGGTTCATCTAAATTTTAGTGAGAGCAACTAGTTTCAGGGAATTTTCGGCGATCTCATGCATGGAATGGACTCCTGAGAACTTCCTTCCTCAATACGGTTACGTCCCACAGTTGGGTACTCGATTAGATGTAAACAAAGATTTGAAAAAAAATTGATCAGGATTTTCCACCAACTCTGAGACGAACCACTAAGCTACCACAAAGTGATCCAAAACACAAGGAGTGTGCACAGGTGGTACTATATAAACCATATATAGATAAATTGCAAAAACAGCTTTGATCAATCTTCGATAACAAAATTATTTATTTATTTATTCTCACTTACACTTTTGTTCGGACTGTGTGCCAAAAAAATCACAGTACAACAGTCTTTATAACAGTCTATGACTTGCTCGTGGGTGAAATACTAACCGGTTACCAGGTGAAAGCACATGGGTTTTTCTAAGGAATTAACAACCAGAGCCTTCGGTTAGCCAAAGCCTAACCCGCAAGGCAGTAGGGCGATGTGCAAAAACCGTAACCCACTGGTGCCGATGTCCAGTTCATTGAATCATACGCGGTTTGGACCGAGTCAGACTTCAGAAGTACCCAAAACTCCTCGATACCCAATCTCGCCGGTGATCACTGCCACAACCAGGAAGGTGTATGTGGGTTAAGTACCTCTTTTTGGTTCGTTTAGAATCAGGGGTTCTGTCCGATTCCCTCCTAGATGGTTCATCGAACCCGTTATAGCACCAACCCAAGACACCCACCACTGAGGCACTTAAGAAAATTACCTAATTTTAGTTGTGCAGTAGCCATTAGTAACTTAGTACACTCATGTTGAGCCTCATTTGATCACAGCACAGCTCATATCTGACCGATATATTTATATATTGATCACCAGTTTGCGACCAAGCTTGATGCCAACGCAACAACAATAGTAACAGAGAACGGAGGTGGGGTGGGGTTGGGATATGGAACAGAGTAAAAAGGTAGATACAGTGAATAACATGAATGAAATTTTTTTTGAAATTCTGTGTCACTGTATTCCTTTGAGGCACGGGATTTCAACAAACAAACCATACAGCATTCGCCCCCCCCCTGAGTTTCATTATGAGTTATATCTCTCAGTGCGTCTAACCTACGAAAACCCTCCCCTTGGGTTCCAGCCTGGTGATGAGACTAAGACGGCAGTCAGGGTAGGACGCCAGAGAACAGTGACAGGATTTTCATCTGGGACACTACTACTACTAGTTTGAAGGACCCGAAAGGGATGGAATTGTGTGAGGGGATTGAGGGTAAAATGGGGCAGTTTGAGGGAGCACGGGGGTCGTACGGTATAGAATGTTTTGGACAGTGTGAAGATTCGAGAAGCGTACGACTGGAAGAGTTCACAATTGAATGTGCTGTGGGCTATTTTACTAATCAGTCGCCCGGTTCAGAGTAGGCCTTGTTCGAGAGTGCACTTTAGCCTCTGCGCAACCGAGCGGGGACTGCATAGCAATAGTGATGTTTCAGATGAGCCGGTGGCCAGTTTTCGATTCATTCATCATTTCTGGAAAACCTTGTCGCCCAATGGATCTCGACAAGGGGCAATGAGCATATTTTGNCCCGCCACGTCACATCGCTGTCTACAGATGTGTGGTGTTTTGTGCGGAGAACCCTTTCCAGGGGGCAAACCCATCACATCCTCCAGCCCTACCGTTGATCGTCCGCCCTTGTTTATTTAGGAGGACTAAGCCTACCTTATTCACGGTTAGCTACGAGATGACGGTTATTCTCCCATGCGCGACCTGGGGATGCTTTCTGTAGCATACAGCTCGGCTCTCCTGACCGATGTGGTGGGAACTGGTGTGAAATCTGATGGTCAAATCTCCTTCATGATGTGTCTGGGATTTTTCAGGAAAGAACGTGGATTCTATTTGGTCACATGACCAAGTCAGAGAATCTCCACAGCCATTCACGTTGCAACTAGGTAAATGTACGGCGATTGATATCTCGGTAGGATGTCGACGATAGCATACAGATTGGAGAAATGATGGTAGGAAGCGAAGATCAAACGCACCCCTTGGCCGTGAACAAACGAAGTGAAACACTGCTTGCCTCAATTACAACTAACCACTTCACAACTGAAAGCAGGCAATTCTTGAACAAAATTGATCAGGTTTTTTAAATTGTTATTAGACCCAGTTTACACAGTACAAGCTGCATGTGATGACGTGTATAACACAGTATTTAATCAAAAATAACAACCATGAAGACTTGAGTAGAGAAAAGGTGTAGAATAATGGAAGTAGTCTCAGGCTTCAAATGAGTTTCTCGTGTCTCCAACTTTAGGATTTCCATCAGACACGCGAAATAGAGTCAAAATTAGGTGAGAAATTTGATAGCCTTATGATGAAGTAAGTAGCACTTGATCATTTGTTTATCGAACTGCTTTTATAACACGACCGGGACGGCGCAGAAAAAATTCTTTATGGTCGAAGGACGTGACTTAATCGACAAAAACGGGTGAATGAGGTGCTGTGACATATTCAGTGATATTCGGCACTTACTTTACAACCCTTTCTTTGGATTCTCAACGGCAAGATCATCAACGAAAAAGTACAGATTTTTAGAATGTAATGACATCAAAACGTGCTGAAAATCCCGACATTATTCACAGACAAGCACAATAACCAAATCAGGATTACCTGGTATTATTATCAGTCGTTTCGACAGTTTCCATTGCGGATTGTTTTGGAGATTCCGTACCCTTTGAAGCATGGGTGATTCGGAAACGAGAGACAATTTGTTCCGGTCTGTTGCTCGAGTATATGGCCCACAGGGAATCCTACAAACCAAAAAGCTCAACAATGAGTCCCGTTCGGCTACCGAGAAATGCGAGTTGTTGTCAATCATTGTAATTTGTGCTGCGAAATCCTAGTTTTTTTTCAAGTATGGAAAAGATGTTAGGTGCAGTGTACCGAACAAGAGGATCTAAATTAGGGCAGACCTCTTTAAATGAGTAGAATTCTGGTTCAGTAACAAATTATGTGCGACAGTTATGAAGGATTTGGTTTTATATAAAGGAAATTTTGTCGCGCATACAGAAAATGAAGTTTAGAGCGAAAAAATGGGAAGTATTGTTCAGCTGGTTCGGCCTGATTGGGTTAAATCAGCATTGGAAATCTTTCGATCTAACTGAGATTGAACTCGTGACTCCGGAGAAAGAACGCAAACATACAACCCATTTGATCACCGGGCAGCTGATCAAATCGCTTTTCATTTTAATATACACGGTAAAGCACAAGCCTGTTACGCGCATCGCACTTCGCATACCTCAGCAATGACCTAAGGGCTATAACTCGGTTGTAAACATTCGGAACCTGATTACATTTTACATTAGAATAATGGAGGGTTTCAGTCGATGGGATAGTAAATATCGACGTGTAGAGACAAAATGAAAAACAACTGGAACAGCTACCCGATGGTATTATGCTTGCGTTCTACTTGTAAGTTTTCGGGTTCTCAATGCTGATGAGACCCACGCGGAGACCAACAGCTGAACAATATTTTCTTGCTTTTCAGTGCACACTGTTTAATTTAAACAAGACGAAATTCAGTACAGCTACGAAGCCTTACTCGCAGTGTCTGGTGTTAGTTTGCATTTCTGATGACACGTTTTCGCCCTGGCACATGGACTAGCAAAAGCCTCAACAGAATAAGCATGAGTCAAACAACAGCGGAGCTACCTACTACTAAATATGGACGGGTCGGTTGGATTCAAAGATGCCATTCGATGAATACCGACTCGCACGAACTGCAGGCTTCATTCTAGATTTCAGATAAAGCAAATCTCTAGTTCATAAACATTTACAATGATGTTTTGTTACGGGGGTAAACTGAATCAACAGTGCGCAATGACACATGCAAGTATATGCGGGAAGTACGACGTTATCGTGCACTCTGGAACATTTGTAATCAACATCTAATAGCTGTGAATCCAATATGGATGCAAATTCAGTTGGCCCTGCCCTCTTGCAGACGGAAGTATAGCAGCAGCTCGCTCTTGCGCTGTCGACAAGAAATGAAGGACCAATCATTTGGGTTTGAGCCTATTTTTGATTTCTCAATAGAACATAAGCATTGAATATGCATTCCCTTCATGAATCTCAATCGCTTCGGTGAGTGAAACACTTCTCGTGTGTTGCAGTGAAAAATTCATCAGGAAAGGATAACTTTCTGGGTAAAAGAAAAAAACAGGATATTTTAAAAACCATTACCACGATGAACTCAGTGAAACGACGCAGGCATGACCTTCTGTAGCCCTTATATATTTTTACATATCTTTGGGCAATAAACAGCAGACTGCGTAAATTGCATGATCGCGAGAATCTGTTTTTCAATCCGTAAATCTAAGCCCCGAGACTTAGAATGAAGAACCAAATGAGGCCCAATTAGCTTCGGATTCTGTAGCCAACATCGAGTTGACGATGGATTATACGAATTCGTTGTTCAATACCACGGCGCGATTTCCATCATGCCGCTCGTGATGAATCATACCAGGTGACAAATAAATACCCATCCCTGGGGTGACTCAGTATGTACCAGTTTGCTACACTGTTGGATTGAGAAACGACGTGGTCCCGTCATTCTGCAGCTGAATACAGTGAAACGAACTTTGTTGATCGCTGCAACGCTCAAAATGTATACAACTTAAGTACGAATATGGAAGATGGAGACGTATTGGGGCCCCATTCTGTTGAAAGGGAAAAGAAAGTTCACCTCAAAGAAAGAAACACAGCGCAAAACTAACTATGCAGAAATGAAATACAACAGAATGATGGAGTTTGTCGAAGAATATTGGATGGTTTATACCATAAAGTTCTCGGGGGTGTAGCTTTTGGTCTATAAACTCCAACGATCATTGAACATGCCCTACTACCTGTGAATATGCCGTACGCACACACCTGTACGATCAATGGTCGGTGCATGAAATGCATGCACTTATTATCCATGACAGTTCACAGGGTAAAAGTGAAATTTCGAAAACTTCGACCTAAAAAGGAAACACGAGTGATGTTAAAAGCAGCAAAATGCGGGTCCAATACTATTAAACAATAGGAGATTATTGGCAGATAATTTGACTACGTACCTGAACTAGTCGCCTGACTGTATCCAACCATGAAGTAGATTGGATGAGACCGGTACCACGAAGCAACAGTTCAGCGACTACATCCACAGGCCAATAGTTATGGTCTGGACGGGACAGCTGACGAACTAAGGCATGCAATATACATGTCGCAAGATTTCTAAATCGAGCACCGGATTCAAGCGAATCCAAATAACCGGGCCAGTCAGGACCAAGTAGAAGTAGACAAAATGCCACGTGATCTAAGTCCCGTGCCGGATCATCTGGAACAAGTAGAACGAGGATTTGGACAGACCGTTCATAACAAAAGGAACTGAAATTGCACTTTATTATTCAGGTTACGTATATCTGCATTGTAGCAGATTCCGTTGAAAACTAATCGAGTTGATGATGATGATGCACATGGATAAAATGAGCAAATAACAGAAGTACAATATTTTCAGAAAAATGAAGGTCAAATGTGAAAATGAGACTCCATACTATTACTGGGGCTACGACAATGATAAACATAGAAGGAAGATAGGTTATACTTATGATTTTGATTTGAGTGAAAGATTTTACTTTATTGGTGAACAGAAGGGATACACTTGACCTACAAATTGTCACAATATTGTAAATCCGGATGTAAATAAAAAGGATTGAAGAGAAATACCATGCCGATAGGTATGAATAAAAATTGTGAATAACCGAGATGGCTGGAGGTACAACCATGATAAATTTGTGCAGGATAAATGAAAAACAGCTCTTCATCTCTATCGTCTCGGAATTATTTTGTTCGTGGTGAATAGTACATCATGACCCCTCGAAAGGTTTATTCACAGTTAATCGATTTCAAGCACGACTTGCTCAATACGGTCCCTTTAGTGTCCTCGTTGGCTCATTTTCGGATCCCTACGTAAATGAAAAACGCAAGTGTAGCGGCTGGCAAGCAGCGCTGAGTCGCACAATACCATCGAAAATGACTGTGCCCTAATGGTAAGCACAGACANCACAGACACCAGGTCGCTTTTCGCCAAGATGACGGATCTGACTTGAATCCTAGAATCACTTATCCACCGTAACATGTGTGTCGTTCGTATTCAAGAATTCTGGCTTGACCAAAATGTTGAGGATTCATTAGTTGGAATTGATGGTTTCAAATGCTTCCGTAAGGACAAAAAGCAGAGTAAGAAGAAAACAAGAGGTGGAGTAATCGCCTGCATCAACTCTTCTTTGGGTTGCAAGTCTGGAATTCTTTTGGAGTATTCCGCCGATGACATCGACTGTTTAGCTATTCAATGTGATCCTAGATTTTTACGATACAGAAACACAGACTACCAATTTATATCCGGTCTCACATTTCATC